ACTATCTGGGGAAGGGTAAGAATTTGATTTTCTTGTTCTTATTACTTTAAGTGCATTTGCACTTGACAAGTCAAAACAATGTGACGATTGTTCTGTGAGCCACTGTGAAGCAATAAATTAATACATACCTTGTATATGTTACTACTGCCTTATAATCCTTCTTTATGTCCACAAATCACATCCTAAAATTGAAATTCTAGATCATCACTGGTTTTTACAGATTTCCAACAACTAATCATTTGCACAATAGTGGGTATGTAAGATTCCTAATTCTTAAAATGAAAGCAACTTCTAAAATTCAATTTTTGTTTAGTCTTGCGAATACAGAATTGCAGTTAATAAGAATTAAAGCTTCGAAGTCCTGTTCTTTCAAGAATATATCTTGCTTCTCATGTAATTCATATTACCACCAAGACCTGAGTTATTCTGAGCTTCCTATAAAATACAGGCTACAATCTCATCACATCAAGAATAATATTTTTAGGTTCTTAGAAATTTATGTTGTGCAGATTTTGGCACACAGACTTTCTGTAAGATTATCAGGTTTTCCACATAGACCTGTCTAAAAAAATTACTATTAAAAAAAAAAATCAAGGTTGAGAAAATCTGTCTGTGGGTCAGATTCAGCCCTCAATTACTTTGATTCACCAATTTTCAGAACCTCTGTTGCATTATCAGGTATGCATCCAAAAAGCAAAATATATAATCATTTTCCCATAACATGTGTTGCAGTGACTTCACAGAGTTATCAGGAAATCAGAATTCCGTTTAAAAGAGCTCACACTCCTTTCTTTCTGTCTACAACCCCAGCTGTACGATGCTTTCCCATGGCTTATGCACCATCTCCCAGGGCCTCATCAGAAAGTGTTTGCATACAATGACTTCATGCACAGTTTAGTCATGAAGGAAGTCCAGGCCCATGAGAGAGAGAAGAAAAGTGATCCACAGGATCTCATTGACTTCTACCTAGCTCAAATAACAAAAGTAAGTATCTGTTTATCACCCTCCTTGGCCTCAATGCCTACTACAAACACTTCGTTCCAGAAACTGCCATGGAACTTTTAGATGCACATGGACTGTATCTGTGTAGCAATGAAGATGTCTGTTCTGGTGGGCTGCTCACTGTTTTCATAAAACAATGACAATTTCTACATGACTGATGAAATGTATGAAATTATCCACTTCATAGTCTTCTTGTGAATAAACCTTACAGACCAAAGATGATCCTACTTCTACGTTCAATAAGGACAACATGATTCAGACTGTGGTTGATCTTTTGCTGGGAGGGACAGAAACAACAAGCACCACCCTTCTCTGGGCATTGCTCTATATGGTACAACATCCAGAAATACAAGGTGAGCAAAATCATTATCAGAGAGAACTGCATTCAACATCATAATGAACATTATTAGTGTGTTAGCTCAATCACTTGCAATACATCAAAATAACACTTAAATAGGAATATGAATGGTAGTACCTCAACAACTGAGATCTAGAAAATGGAAAGTTAATGAAGAAAACAAGCAGGTGCTTTCCCCTCCAGTACACCAGCAACACTACCAAAAATTGGTGGTAGCCACTGTTTTATCTCATGAGAAGAGGGGTTGGCAAGACAGAATAACAAGTTAAAGACATTTCACATGCCATCTAACTTCCTCCTAAGATTCAAAGTGGAAAAGTTTTTTAAAAATACCTGGTCTGATGTGTATTTATAAACATAACAGACATTACATCTGTATTTTCAAATTTTAATCTATTTTTTTGAAACATAGAACTGTATTACCCTCATCACCAAGTAGGATGTGTCATCCTGTGCTTTAGGGATATGCACTTCCTTGATCAGCTGAAACCAATACAGCAGTCAAACCACCTGCCAATGTATTTCATTAGCAACCTTATTTTATTTCCCCAGTCCTGGATGTTCTCATACAAAAACCTGCAGGATAAAAAAAAAAAGGGGGGGGGGGGGAAGTGTAAGTATTTTCATTTCTCTCTCTGCAGAAAAGGTTCAGAGAGAGATAGATGATGTTGTGGAAGCCTCCCATCCCATCAGCTACGAGGACCGTAAGAAGCTGCCCTACACCAACGCGGTGATTCACGAGGCTCTGCGGTACAGCAACGTTACCTCTGTCGGGGTCCCCCGACAATGCGTGAGCAGCACAACCCTGCTGGGCTTTCACGTTAAAAAGGTACAGAGCTTCACATTTCTGTCCACGTTGTCCATGATTCTTTTCAAGCTTTGAGCTATTACTATTCAGTATTTATACGACGTGAGCTTCTACAGTTCCTAACTTTGCAGAGAATGTGGCAACACGTCACAGACACGAAGTGTGAAGAGTACAAAAACCAAACAGGAAGGTGTTATGATTACCCTGGCAAGCACATAAAGCAATCCAAGCTCCACTCCAGCTTAGACATGGAAACACTTCAGTAGTACTGACAGAAGATAACATAGACAAACATGCAATAGGTTTGGACAAACAGAAGGTACAAAGGGACGTGCACTTGTAAAAAGGCCAAGTTGAATCCAAACACCGGGCTGCAGGCATGGGATGCAGACTATTAGAGAGCAGGAAAATAAAAAAGAAGAATCAATCATACATGAAAAATACAAACTCTGCTGCTTCTTACAGGGCACACTTATACTGCCAAACCTGCACTCTGTGGTGTATGACTCTGAGCACTGGGCAACCCCCTGGAAGTTCAACCCAGATCATTTCCTTGATTTGGATGGCAACTTCATGAACAAAGAGGCATTCTTACCTTTCTCAGCAGGTAACACTGACCTTGAATATTCCTGTTTTCTGTGTCTCGCAGCAAGATTAGAAACACTAAGTTCTAAAATTTTAAAAACATACCTTTATAAAAATGTACTTGGCACAAAGATTTAAAGTCAGGTTTTCTGCTCTGTAAGAGCCACAAATGTTGTCTTGCATTTTTTAATTTTGATATGTTCAAACAGAGGATGAGTGTGGTCAGGAGACACGGTGCTCTCCTTGGCATATGTACAGCTCCTACTATAAGGGTATCTGAGCTTCTTAGTTCCTGATGGAACCAAGGTAATACCCTCAAATCAGAAAATTGATTTATTTTCACCTTACAAACAGAAAGCCCAATAATAAAAGAAATATGATTTTTCTAAATATACAGAGAAAATCTGTGATAAAGTAGGAAACCAAACCTCATTCTACTAAATCCTCCAGTAACAGTCTAGCATCAGGTGCCTAAATTGCCCATAAATCCTAATTCATCTCTGTAAAACAGGTACACAGCATCTTACCTCCTGTACTCACCAAATGCCCGTAGTTCACATCAATCAAGACGACTAATTTGGACTACCATTTCAAACCAGGCATAGGAAGATTTCTTTTTTAACTTGCCTTGGTTGTTTTCTGTTTATATAATCTGAGTATTTATATACCCTGAATATCTTCTTTTTTTTTTTTTTTTTTTAAAGTCTGGAATAGATAGTTATCCTGACATATACTGTGAAAACAATATGCCAAAATGAGTTACCGAGTCTGTACATCACCACACATGCCACTGTACATTTCACTCCCTTAGCTCACAGATCTGTTCCTGACAGTGTTAGAGATTGGGGGCTACAAGGACACAATATACCCTTCTGAATTTCTGTTGAAGAAAGCCTGATTACATCTTTCTCCTTGGCTTCAGAACTGCATCTTCAATGCCCCAGCCCACCCTCCTCAACAACCAAAGATAAGACTATCAAGTATATGAAACTTCTTAAAATCTTGCTTAACAGAGAAGCAATTTATGGTTCTCACAGAACAAGCAGCAAAAATTAAAAGGGAGAATCTTACACATGCTCCAGGGGTGAAAAAACCCCCAACCAAAACCAATTAAAACACCAAATGACACTCGACAGTTTCTCAGTTAAATGTTTCTCCCACCTCCAAAAGCATCTTCTGCCCTTACAGAGGAAACAGAATTTATGGAACTCAGTAGAATTTTGTGTGAAGTCCTTTTACAGAATTTTATACAACTAACTCTTTCTGTTTTCTGTCTGCAGGGCACCGTGTGTGTTTGGGGGAACATATGGCACGAATTGAACTGTTCATCTTCTTTACCAACCTCCTTCGGGCATTTACCTTCCAGCTCCCTAAGGGAGTGAAGGAAATCAGTTCAGAGTATGTTTTGGGTGCAATACTGCAGCCACATCCCTATAAACTCTGTGCTATTCCACGCTGATCTGCAACATACTACAGTGCAGAGGGACTCCAACCTGTCAGTAACTGCACATCCTTTATAAACACACACCACTCTCTCAATTGCCTTCAAATAGAGGTAGCTCAGTACAGCAAATTAATCAAGTGCTTTTGTTCAGGAGGCCTGACCTCAAGTGCTGAACTTTTTGAAATGAAGTGTACTTGACAAAGCTCATATAATTGTGTCTTAGGCATATACAAGTACACAATAATACATTTCAGAAAAAAGATGTATTTTCACACTCATAGTAGCAATGAATTAGATGTAGGATTTTAGAGAAGTGAACTGTATCAAGCAGTTTCCTTCATATGTGCTCTGTCAGGTATCACACTCTTAACATGTCACAGCTGTTCTGATGCAGTAAGGATGATGCCTGAACAAAAAATAAAATTTTCAGTAAGCTGTTACTCCTCTGAGTTCACAGGTCTTTCCTTACATCTTCTTGCAGGAGGTAACAGAGTACACACACCTAATTGCTGACTCCTTTTCCTTTCACACTCCCAGAAGCAATATATAGCATAGCACAAACTTCACACAGGCACAGCTGACTCCAGAAAGGGGCCTCTCATAACCATGGTCCATTTAGAAATCCTTACACCTGTTTCTACTTCCTCAGTTCCCACTTCATCACAGCTCGAGTCCCTATGCTTTCACAAAACCTTCCTTCTTCTGTTTATGAATATTATTGTATGATCCAATAATTTCCTATCTGAATTTCTTGAAAGGCTGATCCTTTCTCTTAAGAAAATAAATGAAAATGTCAACATCTGTTAAAGCACGGTAGTGATTTATTACTCAGGGTGTTTTCTTCTCTTCTTTCTCCACATAAACAGATGTAGAAGGTTTTGAGCATTTAAAATTCAGCTGCAAGCACCCTAAAAGTTTTCAGTTTCAAAGTTCAACAGGAGCCAGCATAAATTATGGCAGGATATAGTTAAAAGCAGAAGTAGAGTATTACATATTTCTCAGACATAAAACTAATGGAAGACTTGATTCTCCTCTCAGATATTTCCAATTTTCAATATTTCCAAACATATTCCCTTCCATTTGGTGAAAACCCCAGGTTTGTAACACACTGTAAAGTTTGGTGTCGCAGAACAAATGCAAACTCAACATCACTGACATTTTTCACCTTTTTAATAAAAGCCATTTTACTTTATTTTTATTGAGGAAAATATAACATTTAAAAATTCCTGCTTGAATAAGAAATACTTTCAATAATAAATTAGGAAAAATCTCTTAAACTTGATATTTCTTATAGTGACGGCAGATCTTGCATAAAACACATTCTTACAGATTTATAAAAGCAGTCTGACAGGATAGTTCAAAAGTTTTCAAGTCTTATCTTTTTCCTTTCTGGTGCTCATTAAAGAAAAATTCACCAAAAAAATTTCTCCTTTCCACACACCATTTGCATGGTTCCATAAAGGGCCCCAGGTAAAGTGCTCAGCAGCAGGACTGGCAGTGTCAGATACAAGCCTGGACTTTCTTTACTCCAGTGTATTTTGATGGTTCTTGAGGTATATCCTACCTGAAAACAAGATTCCATTTCTTTCTCCATGTTTACTCCTTTAGTCACTGAATTTATTCTGTCAGGTTGATAACTTTTTTTCCACAAAATATTGTTTTCTAATCATAGAACGGTTGCAATTGGAAGGGACCTTCAAGATCATCTTGTTCAAACCCCCTGCCACGGGCCAGGGGCACCTTCCACCAGACCAGGTTGCTCAGGGCTCCATCCAACCTGGCATTGCCCATATGCTTTTTCCAAAACTGTAGCTTGGGTTAAAACATGCACATATTCTTCACCTGTATTTCTGAAGAACTGAGGTACATTTTAATTTGCTGTACAAAGCTCGTTCTAAAAACAGGGGAAGAAGAAATATTCAGAGTGTACATGATTAAAGGAGGTATTTTTACTAAGAAGTCATTGTAGGCCTGATGGTTGGTACCAGTGAAGAACAGTTGGGCTAAGGGCATCTTCCTGTTATTTCATTTAAAACCAAGAACAGCAAGAGGTGAGGCATCCCTTGGATTTCCGATGTTTCTTGAAATGACAGTGGAGAATTCCAGGTTACCTTTTCATCACAGTTGTAAAGGAAATCTATAAGAAAATGAGCAATACAGAGAAAAAAGCTATTTCATGAGGGGTTTTTTTTGTCAGGAAGGAATTCATAAGGATTTAAAGTGAATCAGAGACAACAAATACGTAGAAATTAAGAACAAAATGCAAGCTTTCCTTGTGAAACATTGTTTAAAAAATCTTAATCATAAATCACTTCAGTAATGAGAAAACAGTCAAACTTCTAGAAAGATATACTGACATCCAGCTCTGTTGTTGTTATGTATCCCTTAGAAATCACTAGCCCCACTCCTGAAGGATCTAAGCAGTCTCCCTCATGGAAAAGTTAAACCCCCAAAAGCATGGAATGATTTCTAAAGTCCAGTCTTTAGAAAAGCCCATGCTGTTGAAGATTAAATTTAGACATTAATTTCTGCCACTGCTATTAAAACTATAACTGCAATTTCCAGATTTGTGAAGCTTTCAAGTCCTTAAGAATCTAAACTGTTTGTTCCCTTGATTCCGTTTTCAAGGAATATAAGAAACATATCTTGCAATAGATTCCTTCTGATTTAGTGGCCTTGCAATGTTTTATTTCCAAAACAACAGCAAAAAAGGACTTTCATTACATACTTCAGTTCCTAAATACTAAAATAAAAAGAACCATGTGGAAAGTACACACAGGTCTGTGCTCATTTTTGGGAAGCACACAAAATCCATACTGTTTGTGTGGTTTTAAGGACAAAATGCAACAATTGGTCAACATGACCTAGACTAAGAAAATGAGTAAGCCAGTTCTAACCTTGGGTGAAGAATTTCTCCTACAATTTTTGTTTTGTTTAAACCTCAAAACGAAAGACCCAAGTATCTAGATGGTCTTATTCCAACTAATAAGCAGAGTATTATCAAGGGCATGCTTTGATCTGCCATTCAAATCAAGTACCTTTACAATTGTTAAAATACATTCAAAGTTCTCCTCTTCACATACTGTATTAGTTACTCAGCATTCACAAACAGCCCTTCAGTATTACATACCTATCTAATCAAGCAACACACAAAGCCCAAGTATGAAATAGCTGGCATGAGCTCCATCAGAACAGCTTGCACACCAGGAAGGATTACAATGTTAGGATGCTATATGGGCTGGCTATAAGGAAACAAATAAAAGACTAAACTCTAGAGTGGTGAAAGCTAATATTTGAATTGCCTGTTTGATCTTCTCTTTTTGCTGTGTTTTCTTAAGTCTTTACAACACTATAATGCCATTAAATTTCAAAATCGCAACACGTAGGATACCAAATCAGTATCAAAGCCAATCAGATGGAGGAAGGGCACAATATATAATTAAAGCATGCTGTTCTAGGGTGACACCAGGAATGAATATATCAAAACATACCCATCAGAATGTGTCACTTACCTCTTGCAATACTTGTCCAAGTGTCTCCTGGCTCTGAATGCGCTTCCTGTTGAAAACCCAAACCACACTTATTTTTGCACAAAGCATTGAGGAATCTTGTAAATACCAATTATTTATCACACTTCCAAAAGAGAAGACTGTTATATCAGGCTTTGTTCCACGTCCTTTCCCTTATGGAATCTTGATGCAATTCTATGGAATCTTACTGCAATCTTTTGGAAGCTACAAACGCAGATGCAGACCTGTTGTTATTCACATCAGGAGGAACTACTTGGAGTAATGCTGGCTACTCATTGCATTTTCTCAAAAACAACCCTGATTATTAAAAAGCTCAGTTAAATTTCAGTATAAATCCTAAAATCCACATATAGCTGGTAATTAGTTGCTTTAGTGCCATCTTCTCCAGCACTAGACACCAGTTATTCAGGAAGTGATGCAAGAAGAGTTAACAAATAATTCTTTTTTTAGTCATTCTTCCAACATAATCAAAGTGACAAGTAGAGCATACAAACACAAAAAGAGCAAAACCAAGACTTCTTAAAAAAAATTTGCATCGAGAACACATTACTGCAATTATTGTTTCCAGCCTGGAGGAGGCTCAGGGGAGACCTCATCACTCTCTACAACTATCTGAAAGGAGGTTGTAGCCAGGTGGGCATCAGTCTCCTCTCCTAGGTAACCAGCAGTAGGACATAAGGACATGGTCTTAAACTGTGCCAGGGAAGGTTTAGGTTGATTATTGGGAAGAAATTTTTTACAGAGAGTAATCAGACACTGGAATGGGCTGCCCAGGGAGTTAGTGGATTCACCATCCCTGGAGGTTTTTAAGATGAGACTGGATGTGGCACTGAGTGCCATGGTCTAGTAACCACAGCAGTGTTGGATCAAGGGTTGGACTTGATGATCTCGGAGGTCTTTTCCAACCTGGCTGATTCTATGATTCAAACATCCCGTAATACATGAACGAAAGAGACTAGAAATGCAAATAGAAGGCAACAAAATGTTACCTGTCTATTTTGGTTGCTATGACCACTGTAAAATTGCCTTCTGTATTGGGCAAGTACGTAGAAGGTATGATGACGTAGCGTCCTGCAGGAAGCCTGCAAAGTCGGCTCACTTCCTGCGAATAGCAGTGAGGAACACAGCTCACCAGTGGCTCCAGGTGCAGAAAAGAAGTAGTTTGTGGTTTCCAGCTGCTGTTAGGCACCTGCAAAAAAGAATACAGACATGGCCACTCTTTCATCTGTTTCAGATCTCACAACGTTTCATTCCTGGCATACCACAGCCTGGTACGGTCCATCTCTATTCCACTACAGATACTCACTTTGCTGCACAGAGTTAGAGAGAAGGATGGGAAGGCTTCCAGAAAACCCAGATGGCAGTATTAAATATAGATTAATCATTCCAAGCATGTTTATAGACAATTTATGCCACCCACTATTCACACAGCTCTAAAGCTTTCTCTGTTGTCTAACCTCACTCTTCCCTGCTGTAGCCTAATGCACTTATTTTTCACCTCATGAATATGGTGAACATACTGTGTTTTCCTCATTCAAGTGGCCTTTCCTGTACTAAAAATGCACATTAGAACTTCACCTCAGTCTCCTATAGGCATAAAAATGCCAATCTTTCTTCACATATTGTATATTTGAAGCTTTGTGATCACTTCTGATGCTCAAACTCCAGACTTTTCACTTAAGTAACACCTTTTTGGAAGCGTGTTTTCTAGAAATAAAGCTGGCTTTCTCTGCAAAATAGTTACCTAACCAGCAACTTCTCATGCTACATTTATGCAACTGATCACTGGCACATGCCAGTGTAGAACCTGTATCTGTCCATACCAAATCATATCTTGTTTTATTTCAAGATATCACAGTCCTTTTGATCCAACATCACTTGCCTATGGAAAAGTAAGTGACGATTACACATGAGGAAAGTAAGCTTTCATGATGAATTACCAAAACGTCTGGTCCTCAATCAACAGGACACTAAGAATTCTTTGCAAATCCTCAAAAGAGTTCATAATTTCTAAAACTAATTTAGAACCTTGTAAGGGTTCAGTGGAACCAATTATCTGGTTATTATGCTATGTAACTATGTAGTTATTCTGTATCTTTCAAGGGTATTACTTCCCAGGATCAGCAAGTGTTTCTCCTTGAAGCAGCAAGTCCCTTGTGAAGTGCAAGGAGCCCTGGACTGAGTGACAAGTTCACCTTCACCCTTGGCAAACGAGCAATCCAACTGACCAGAAGCCTCACCTGGAAAATATGGAAACCTATCGGACGACACTTGCTATCCTGGCAGTGCTGACGGAGGGTAACCTTCACACTGCTTTTTCCTGGTCCTGCAGGAATGGAGAGTGGAAAGCAGGGATTGGTATGGAAGGAGGGGAAGTTCCTGCTACCTCCAGCACTTTGCCCATTTTTCCAGCATCCATGCAGCTGCACTGTCTCCCATTCACCAGCTGGGAGTTCTTCGCAGAGGGCAGCATCTGTGGGTGGTGGCTTTAGCTCACTATCAAACAAAAGAGAGAAAAGAAACTAAAATGTACAAAACCTGTGTAGCACCACAATATAAAAAAATCTGAACACCTTTTTAACACGTTGCCAACAGGACATTTTGCCCCTGCATACAGCACTAAGCTGCAGTTTAGAGTCAAGATGTTACTCATCTGGCTACCTCTGACTAGCATTTCAACAAGAGGTAGTAGCAGCTTCATGACAAAAATAAAGAACTAGAGCACTACTTACATGAATTCAAAGAAAAAAAAATGCTGTTACTTGACACTCTACACAACCCTTCCAAGTATTTTAAACATTCACACTTAGTACTACACTTCACGTATTTATGTCAACAACTATAAGAAATGTTCTGTTTTGTTTTAAACCTACCTGAGAGAGATCCTCCCTGTTGAAAATACACGAAGCAGGAAATTCCCTACTGCATCTTTCAGAAAAGTGCTGGGAACAACAAGATAAAAGCCAGGCGAGAGGTCACAGCACACATGGACTTCTCTATCGTAGGAATGGCAGACGGTACCTACAACTGGAGGAGCAGAGAGGGTCTTTGGAAGGTTAAATCGTTTCTTCTCCACCTAGAACAAATGCATAATGATGCATGGTGGTTTAGGAAACATGAGTAGTTTCTAATAAAAATAAAAATTATCAAATATTGTTTAAAGTATTTTTAAACATGAATAAACATGTTTCAAAAACAAACAAAGAGGGCAGTACCAGCACATAATCTGAACATAAAGGAGGAGTAGGAAGAGTTAATATTCAGGAGGAGTAAATTTAGGAATGGTCTTCAAATAACCAGCCTGAAATGTCATGCGCTAGTTTGGAACAATCCCAAGTGCTCAGTGATAAGAACAAAGTACTAGTCCACTAATAGTCTGTACAGGCAGTAACTGTGAGATAAACAGAACTATTCCAGCATAAATCAAGAGATGCAAAAAGGCACGACCCATTGAATTGTATCAGTGCCACAGGAAATGAATGACTTTGCTCAAATGTTTCAGTAGTGCTTTAAAACTTCTATTTGCAAAAAGAAAAATATCACTCACATATTACCTTCCAGACATGCAATCCCACAGCCTGGTAGTTCTTCCCGTGTATGCCTTCAGTCAAAGATGGATTTTCCTCTGCTAAATGAGCTGGATTTTGAATCCTTCCAGCCCAGTCAGTGCTGTATTTCCTGTGTTTCTGCAGCAGAGCAATGCACACCTCACTCGTTTCACAGACTCTCAACCAGAACTTGGGGTTGGTAGGGAAGCTGCTGTTGTTACGGCAGCCACCAGCAGACTGGCCTCTCACCCAGGATCCAAACAGATTCTGTGAGTGATACAGCACTTTCTCTAACAAAATAAGAAAAACATGGTGCAGATTTCAGACACGGGAGGCTACTTAATTTTATACAACAGATATAAGGCAGAGTTTCCCCAGCCCAAAAAAACACACCGTCACAACCCTGATACTTTCTTGAAGCAGAAATTCATGACCAAGATTTCGAGAGGCATGAGAATTAATGTCACAACTGGTAATGGCAGACTGATGACATGACTTTTACAACATGAAACTGTTTCTAGAAATCTCAAGTGTATCTACCATTAAAAACAAAACATCACAAGGCTGTTCAGAACAACAGCTTTCTAGACAGAGGACACTAATCTCTCAACCAACTAGCCAGTAACTAGGTTTCAGAGTAATATCTAAGCTTCAATTTCTTCTTGTCCTTCTGTTCTTCCCAGTAGAGACAGAAAAGGCCTGTGGGTCTAAAGGAGAGAGAAAAACTGAGAAATTAAGGTCTAGTTGGATCCATTTGCAATTCAAATCAGTCCTTCCCACTGGCATAATGTTATTTGCATGAGAAAGATGTTTTCTAATACCACACCTGTATAGAGGCTCTGAAGTTGTCCTTCCTCATTGACTGGAAAGCCCACGGTAATTTCATCAAATTCTCTGAAAAATTCCTCTTCATCAACCCAGAATTCTCCCTCTTGGATCTGTGAGAGCAGTTCTGAAGCAACTACTGGATCTAACTGGCTCCATCCTTGCCCGCTGCACATAAGACAAAAGTCAGCATTTAACTCTTTGCCCAACAGAATTCCCACAACAATGTTCTACCAAATATCTTATGGAATGGGACAGCAAGTAGAGATTTCTTCACTTTATTGTTAAATACTTGCATTGAATATTTCTGCACACACATTGGTGGTCAGTGAAAGGGATCATAGAAAGGATGAGTCACAGTATATTGAAGAAAACCCAGGAACAACATAATGCCAGACTGGATACAGTAACAGACTTCGGGGTGAAATAGATGCTTTACTTACAACAGTCGGTACAGCCCAATGTGTGAGTAAAATAAAGATTTTTAACAGTTGTTAGTGGCAAAAAAGTAAAACAAGCAGCACAGTGACTGCTCCGAAAGAATTTTAATGCTGCACATCAAAAACTGCCATTTGTATAAAACAGCTGGTTACCCCCACGAATCTGCTGGCTAAGTCATGATAAACCAAGAATTTAAACACCTCATTATTGAGGGGTCATTAAAAGCTAGGAGTTTCAGTATTTTTCATTGGTTCATTAGCAAAAAAGAACAGGGGTTTAAGGCCACCCAAGAAAGCATTATCCTCTTGCAACTACATGGCAACTTACTGTTTCACAAAGAAACTAAAGGACAGCAACTGTATAACCAAAATTCTGGCAAAAAAAAAAAAAACCAAAAACCAAAAAAAGAACCAGAAGTTTTGATTAATACAATGAAACCATGTTTTTAACTCAGGGGAAAAAAGCTTATTTCTATAAAAATGTTTATTAACATCATCGTATAGTTATCATATTTTAATGCTGAACGCTTGCTCCTTGGGTCAAGAATTGTATGTTCTTTTGTAGAGTCAAAACATGCTAATGTTTTTCAAATTAAGCCAGTGGGGTCTGCCCTTTCATTCTTGTTACTTTCCTATATGAACTGCTACACATATTTCTGCATCTCCTTTAACAGATCTCTTCTTTATTTCTACTTTATATGGACTCAGTTCCAGCTTCATACCAATTGTCCATCTCATACCAATCTACAGAAATGACAGCACACAAGCAACATAAGCATCCTTCATTCTGCTATATCTTGTTTCGTAAATACTCCTTTGCTTGTTTTCTGCAACTGAGCCAAGATTACATGAGAAGAGCCCAGTAAAGCTGAGTGACTCCAAGTCATAAACATGATCAGAGATACTCAGATCAACTGCAGAACAACAAAAAAGCACCACAAAAATCAGAAACAGAAAAAACCCCAATACCTTATCTCCACGAGAAGATATGATTTGATTAAAAAAAAAAGCTATTAAAAAAAATAAATTACCAGAACAAAGAGATCAAAATTACCAGCCTCAGAACCAATGAGCTGTGTGAACTACTAGCTCTCTAAAGGGCTGCACACACACTGCAGTCTCTCTCCTCCACCACAGACTATTTATTAGCAGTGTTTGCTGTTTGCCCATGCAACACAGAGATATGCTCTTGTGCTTCAGAACTTTCACAAAGGACTTTCCAAATGGAAAGAAACCTACTCACCCCTCACACCAGGGCCCTTTCCAGCACCGCCTCCCCCAGGGATTGCGTATTCGTAGCAGGAAGATCTCCTTGCCTGACACTTCAGAGAGATTCAATGTATCTATCACAATAAAGGCGTGAAATTCTCCTAGTTCACTTGCACCTGAAGAGAAAAAAAAAAAAAAGCATTGGAAAATAAAAAAAAGGACCTGTTCCAGATTTTAAAATGACATTAAACTGTTCTGTGAAAGAAGGTAATCTTAAGATAGAGGGAATTTTTTTAAAATCTGTATTAGAACAGCACAAAAAAAAAAAAAACACCAAACAGCTCATTTTATTTGTGACTACATAGATATAAAATAAGATTTTTTAACTTCTTAACTCACTCCTTGACTTCAAATACCTACAAATTCACTGTGCTAAACTCTCTGGATTTTTTAAGGTTGGTTTTGAGGTGCTTTTTTGAGGGGTGTGTGGAGGGTGTATTTGTTTTTGAGAACTGACCATATTAGCATCTAATATAAAAAGCATTCCTCAAAACCACCCTCCATCTTGAACTCAGTAACATCCTTAAATCTTTATTTATCCAAACTTATATAAAACTGCATCATGAAATTGGCATGCTACTAGAATCAGCACTTGCATTTGCTGGTTGCTTTGTGCTTTGAAGCCTGTTAAATAGAGACATTTAATATTACCTTGTCTGGAATTGAGGACTGAGCAGCTTATTACACACTGTTCCTTCAGATTCATTAATCTTCTAAACACTGCTTTCTCCAAAACCATGCCAGTCTTCTCTTTCTCCATGTTTTTTCCAGGGTCTTTTAGGGTCCATCTTTCAGCAATTCCTCCAGTCAGATCAACCAAAGCATCAGCCACCTGTCCTGCCCACAACTGCTCATAAGATCCATGTACTCTGAAAAAAACCCCAAAACCAAACAAACCAAAAAGTTTGTACAGGCAGCAGAACTAAAGAAACACAGTTCTTACATACTTTCAAACCCCACCCTATATCACAGTCATGACTGCACCCTACCTCATATCCCAAAGCAGGCAAGAAAAAGTATATACTATTTTATTTATATAGAATACAACATCTAAAGAATACGTAAGCCATCAGATATTCTACTGTTGAATGGGTAGTTTATTAGAATTCCCTCCATCCTATGTAAAAACTGCTGTAGTCTAGTACTAGTCACTTGTACTTTATTATCCATGCACTACATAATCTTATGTGATCATTCTGTATAAAGAACATTTCTTCCTTTTCTTCAATTATTCTTTGTTCACTGTACAGAGTAGCACTTCCTTCAACAATCTAAGCAAACCAAGAGACTACCTTAGCTGATGCAGCAAATGCAAAAAATAGCAAAAGCAATCAAGACTATAATAGAATTATAAGATTGAATAAGATCGCAGCTGAAAACAAAGAATATTACATTTCAAACCTACAGAGAAGCTTTAACGTGACATTGCTGCTTTACAGCTTCTGCTCAATGTATCTACAGTTGAATAAATTACTTGATGCTTGAAGTCTTTCTCTGCCCTCTGCTGGCAACCACACAATCTTCCACCCATGTTCTTCTGGATATTAGATGTCTATCTTACCAGTGCATTTTGTCTCCAAATTGCTTTGTCCATCTGGACAGCTTTTCGACAGATGTGTCATAAACCATAAAATAGCTCCATTTTCAAACACATCAACACTATGGTTGTTTCTTCTTAATATAATAAACTATCAAATTATGCAAAAGAGCAATGAAACTCACACAACCAGAGCCTCAACTAGCATAAACTTACATAATGTTGTTGCTTTCCATGAAAATATTTGCATGATTTCTGCTTTCATTGAGCTCTCATCTTCCCTAGTAAAATATCTTCCTTTAATTAGTTAGATGACCAATGGACAGTGACTTAACAAACATAATTTGCATCCTGAAAAAAGTTCTTACTTTTCATCAGAATTCTCTCCCTAAGACTACCTTACCTCATATGCAACTAAAAACACACTTTACAGATCTACAGTTAAGAAGCAACTTCTGCACAAGCCAGGATGGGACCACCAACTGAACAACACACAGATCTATGCCCAAAGCAGTGAGGTAAAATAAGCAAGCAGGAGGGACACACAGGTGTTGCATTTCTATTTTCCACAATAACAGTGTTCACATACTTTGCATAAGCTTTTTCCAAGAGTGGAAGCCAAAACAAATCCTCTGTCTGACACTGGGAAAAGCAGAGTTTACCCCCAAGGCAAGGTAAGCGATCGTCGATGGTCACTTCCACCCAGTGCCCAAACTGCCAGACCCGACAGGTGAAACAGCCTTGGTAGGACTCATCTGTCCAGCTGGGCTGACCTGGGGGGATTACCTGGAGGCCAAAAGCCAAAATGAAGACAAACAATGAATTTTTTTTTTTTTTGTAAATAAAGCCGGTTAAAAGTATACTGAACATCAACCATTTGTAGTAAACACAGAAAAAATATGTCAACAAAACCAGTAACACTGAGCACAACAAAACCGATACTCATATGGCCGTTTAGGACTCCAGAACAATACACAAACGTCAATTAGGTGAAGAAAACTTCTCCATACCTTGTTCAGCAGGTATTTACTCTTCTGCAAAGCTACACAGGCACACAGGAACCAACAGTCTCCCAAAATTCCTTGTTTCACTTGCACATCCTGCAGGTTGTTTGAAAATAATCGAGGAGAAGAACAAATGTCCTATAATTAAAAGAAGAGGAGTTAAAGCCAAATCCTGCATGACATTCTAAGAAAACGTGTTTCAGGGACTTGGAGGGCTCTAGAGACCTCTCATAAAATAAGGGAATTTTTACTTTTAGAAAGTTTTCTTTCCAGACACAGCCTAAGTAAGCAATAACAAATAAATGTCCTGTGACTATACTGCAGGTACTTTGTGTGATGTAAATCAAATTCCCACATGAATTTTAGTATACAAACATCATCAGGTGCAACCTTAGCAGAAGCAGCAATAAGTGAAAGACAACATAACTCATCAGCTCTTCTCTAGAGCTATGACGAACTGTGACAGAGCTGATGCCATCCACACTGAACTGAACGTCCCAAGTCACAAAAATCTTCAAATAAGTATAAGGGAAAAACCTTTCTTAGAGCAAATAAAAATAGATTAGTTGGTAGCAGGAGGGGTAATTTTAACTGTAAAGTCCTGAACACTTTTAATCACATCTGAAAGTGAGTTTTTCTAAATGGTTCTTCTTACCTATAAACACTGCAAGAGACGGAAATTAACTGATCAGTCCCCAGTAGCAATCAAGGTGTGAAGTACAAAAGCAGGAAGCTACACACTGGGCTCTGTGAAGTTATTTGTTTGCCAATTACACCTGACAAGCAACAGCTCTATCACTGTTCTACAGCCAATCCCAGATGAAGAGGAGAAAATACAACTGAGGACAACATACTTTTTTCTTCCTTTATATTTTTATAGCCTTTTTTTCCCCTCCGCACAAAGGCAGTATCATAAATACTTCACTTTAAGCAAGTATAGTGCCAAAAAGCATTCTAAAGCTGTTAGCTCTCGTATGGCTTGCTCTGCAACCCAGCTCAAAGTTTAAAAGCAGTACAAGCCATATGACATGTTATAAACTTTAAAAAGTTTTCTTTTTTGTTATCAGAGAAATCAACAATCAAGAAAAAGCAACATGCTTCTGAAAAAAATCTAAAATCCAATTGTTTATTTTCAAGGTAGTTTTGCAATATATCAAAAAAACTGGGAATGACAAAATGTTGCATTCAACTTAGTATGCACAATATTTGCATAATAAAACATATTTATAATAAAATATCTGAACTTCTACCAGTGCCTGAAATTTAAAATCTCTACAAGAGGATTTAAACCTACAAACAAGCACCCAGGCTTTTAAACTGTAACTCATGTATTCTTAACACGGACATACATTGGTTATCCCTTCTATATTTCTAAACAATAAAAGCACCCAGAAGCAGTCATTCAATGCTAACTTGCATCACTGCCTGAAAGCCCAATTGTGCTAAAATCACAGCTCTTTATACCTTAAAACTCACCTTAGGTCTCAACCAAGATATCTCGCCTCTGAATTGGGCAAGCGGGGTACAATAATCAAAAAATATAGACGTATCGCTGGCCGGAAACGTGGGGTCAGTGTAAAGGTCTCTTTTCACCATTAATTGCTTTTTCTCTCCCAGCATTTTCAACACAGTCCTAAGCAGGTTTTCCGGCTGTTCCCACGACTTTAGATCGTCAGGCACAAATCTGCAACAGAAACGAGTGTTACCGGGGAACTGCAACAGGGAAACAAACAGGCACGGCGGATTTATTTAGGGACTGTTCTAACAACGCAGCACCTTGAACCACCCCACTGCTGGTTGTTCCAGCACCTGACACCACCCCGCACCGCTCTGCTGGAAGAGAAAGGGGGTCTCTGAGCAGACCCACACCCACTTACGTGCCCTCCCCCTCGCTCCGCGCACACCCTCCCCACAGGGCTCCCCCCAACACCCTTCTCCTCGCACCCAGCCCCAGCAGGACCCCTCTGCTCACACCTCCTCCCACCCGGTAGCCCCCCCGTCCCCACAGAGCCCCTCAGCCCGGCCGCCCCCTCTCCCCGCTCACCGCGTGGCGGCCCCGCCGCCATTGCCCAGGGCGGCCGTTACCGGGCAACGCCACGGCCCGCGGCCCCGCCCACCCCACGGGTGACTGACGGGACAGCCGACCAATCAGCGGGCGCTACATCTGTGAGCACCACCCATTGACCCCGCCCCTCCCTGAGGGGAGGTCCCGGGATCCGCCGTCCCGTTGTTCAGATTGCCCGTCCCGGAATTCCTGGGAGGAACGGGAGATTGCCGGCCTGGAGCGTTACCTGCGGCAGTGTCACCTGAGCTGCTCTTACAGGCGGAGGGAAATGAAGCCAAACACCGTTTTCGTGAAGTCTGTGACGGAGAAGCTGTCAGAGAAATTGCTGATCCTCACCAAGTGCTTCCCCGGCATAATGGGAAGGATCACGTTTTCGGGTAGTTTATCACCATGTAACTGTCCAAGGACTGAACTGACATAGGAAATACTTCTCATACTCTTGATAGCTACTGATGACCAGTAAAATAGAAAAAATACCCTAAAAAATACTGAGTTGCTCAGTACAAAGGACAGAAACGCAGAAATAAGGGCCCCATGACCGCTTCAGCATACCGAGGTTTTGGGGTGGGTCAAGGCACACTGAAGCAGGCTGCTTTCTTTTGTTGTATTTGGGCCTTTCACGTCAGTGTTTCTCAAGGAGCTCAGGTGTGGCCAATAAAGCAGCTGCTGAGCCAGCGTGGGAGGACATGTTGTTTACAAAAAAGCCTGTTTTTCACACTTGCCTGTGATGTGTTTGAGTCTAAAGGTTATGTCTCCTGGTCCTTGGGTAGAGAGGTCATCTGAACGAGAGAGATCCACAGAAAACACGTGCCTGACTGGTTTGCATCAGAAATGAGCGCAGAAATCCTCCTCTAAAGCCAACCTTAGCAGATGGAAATGCTCACAGGTAACTGCAGCAACTGTCCACCCGCTGACTGATCCAGAAATAGGTTCTCTGGCCCTTGGTCATACCTGTTGTACAGACACAAGGCTTCTCCCCTGCATACTGCAAATTTGATCAACAAACAAGACTTTTCACGTTCAGTTTTGACCCATTTGGGAGAAGAAGAAACATTGCTGGCAGTAAGAATAAGGACCCCTCTTATCCACGGCTCATGCGAGGGAGCTGCAGCTGCGAGGGAGCCGACACAGGAGAAGTCTGTTGGGGGAGGGAGAGAGGGGAAAAAAGGCCTCTGTGTCAGGAACAGTAAGGCTCTGATCTGTGTGATTTCACCCCTGCGTTCTTTAGGGAACAGCGATCACAGATCACAACTGCATGAATTCCATTAAAGGACAGGCTCTAGAAAGCAGGAGGAGTGTTGAGCTCTAACTAAACACAGTAGGCCCGACCTGGAACAGTTAACTAATTAAACACATAACTATTTATGAGTTATTAGCAAAAGGAAAGAGTTGGATAGTATCTTTGCCTCCTAGATACCTTACATGCTTTCCTTGCCCCACTGCAGACTTGAAAAGGGGCAAATTCATGCATTATGCAGCTGATGATGTTTTTTTCTGTTAACCTGAACTCTTGGGAAAAAAAAGCAGCAGAGAATTTTCTGTTGGTTCTTGGCAATCCTGCAGAATTAAACCATGCCTGGAGAGACAAACACAGTCCTGTTGCTATAGATATTTAAAGTTAAAAGGGATTTGTGTCCAGCTAAATAGCCAGCTCATTTCCATATGAATGAAGACGACCATTTAGAATAGCATTTGATATTTTCATGATTATTTGTCAGATTTTGGGTTTCATCAACCCCATGTTTGCTTTTGTCTCCAACTCCTGGTGGTTCAAGGACAGGGAGACAAGTGAAAGTGATCGAGCAGTTGTGGCTGGGCCCAACGTGTGTGTTTGTTTCTGCAAATTATGATACATGGAAGTTGTTCACAACGGAGCTCTTCCAATTCTCTGGATCCTAATACCAGAATTAGGAAGTCAAATGCTTAGTCCCTGCAATATCACTCAGCTGACAGTGGTCGGCGCTGCATCAGAGGAACAGCACAGAGTGTCTTTTTGCTTAAGGGAGACTTTGGAAGCGGTGCTTGGCGTTATATATCTCTCTCAGTACCTCAGGCACAGCCGGAGGCAGAGCACAGCTCCAAATTTCCAGCCTGGCTACCACAGCACACAAGAGCAAGGTGGTACAAGACACCAAAATTAAAACAATGCACAAAGCTGATGCTCCCCTAGATCATACTCCTGAAATGTCAACCTTAACCCCCGTGATGCTTTACACAAAATCATGTCCTGTCTCCCACCCTTTCTTATCACCTCCCACTCTGCTGTAAGACCCTGCATCTCAGTGAGCATGCTTTTGGAAAAGGGTTCGATGCTCTGTAAAACCCACTAATGCCATTCCTTATTTACAGAGAGACTTGTCTACAGTATATTAAAACACCTTTCTTGTGGGGCACAGAGCACACTACGTTCAATATAATCATAATTCTCTGGACAAGAAATCTGAGGTGTAAGACTTGAGTTTTCCAGTGCAGAAGGTGCATGCACAAGGAGTGAGGGGAAGCGTTCAAACAGGCATTTATTGCAACCAGTTAGTCTCCCTCTGTATAGAGCAAAATTCACCTCCAGAATATGGAATAGCCCTTCTCTACACTCCTTTATCTATAAAAGGTTGCCATATCCAGACATACTCTAACTGGTGCCCAAATTACTACTGTAAATTAGTAAAAATTTACAGGATGAATGCACAATACTAATAAAAAATTCTTTTTAAGTTGGTGTGGAATATACAGCAGTATTTGAGGTAATTTCTGAGAAACAGTGTGCAATTTCCACTTTAAAAGGATGCTGAAACATCATGTTCCACTCCAGAGCTACAGCAATACATCAAGTATGGAAGATAAACCTTGCAGCAAGAGACTAATAAATGCATTTTCTTTAAGAATTAAGAAGAACTAACATGAGAAAGAGGTTATGTTTAAGAGTAAGTAGTTTACGTTTCACAAACAAAGCAGTAGCTTCCAGAGCTGGAAGATGAAACTAGACAAATCCAAACTAGAAACTGGGCATGCATTTTAGGAATGCATGTAATCAACAGCTAAAGCAACTTACCTGGGCTTCAACAAAATCAAATAATTCTGTCTCAGAGGACAGTGGCTTGATAAATCTCACACTGATTTCTAGTGCAGTTTCTTTTATACACTGTTTGATATTGTGGTCATAATGACTCTCAGATTTTATCAATCTGTAGTAAAAAGTGTGCAAACAAGTGTCACGTGATTTATAAGTGTTGACTGTACTGCGCTGTTTTATCTTTGGACAAACAGGGAAAACAGACTGAAGAAGTGTGCTTGACCTAAGTGAACTGTGCAGCACATGTGCTTAGATCTACAGAAGGTCCTGTGTTATCCGAGAAAGGTAACGGCCAAGGTCACTGCAGTGCGAGAACATGAGAGAATTTTGGTTGAATCAGAATATTTGGAACACTTGCTAGAATTGTTCTTGGTTAATGGCGTGCATGGTTAGGATGTTGCAGTGTATCATGACAGAAAAATCACTGATACAAGCTAAACAGAGTAATACTGCACCTAACAAGAGTTATTTTTAATGTATCAACCAACATGGCTATGAAATGCTAAAAAATTAAGTTAGAAATATTCCATTTTATTAAAGGGTTTGGCTCTTCTGAGCTTTTCGACAAGTGATATTTCTAGATCCCGTGTTGCCCTGCTCAAGGCTGCAATGACATAAAGTAATAGTTTTCATTTTCAAAATAAAAAAGATAACCAAATCTCTTGGTATCTGTTTAAATAAAATCAATTTGTTGTACTAATCTGACTTAAACAGATCAGAAATTAATGTACCAAAGATAAAACAAATAGTTTCTATTTAATCACAGTTTAATTTGCCTGTCAATGTGAAGCCTACTATAAATCAAGACAGAAAATAACCTGAAGCACTAATTTATTTTATGTCAACAAAAGGAAGGCTTATCTCTGCAAACTTGCTGCCAATTTTTTGTCTCTCCAACATAAAAATGCACTCCTTGCTCACAGGAGAAACAAAAGTACCTGAAAAAGAATGCATAGAATACTTTCAACAAATCTCACTCTGCTTCTATGTTTCAGAAAACCAGTCTGATGAAAAAAGCCATTTGATGGGATCTCAGAGATGATGAGAGCAGAAACACTAACTTAGGTTTCTTTAAAAATGAAACAGTCTGGCTCAGGCAGTATTTCCTTGCTCTGATGGGTGTATATGCAAACACACAGCTGATCTGATGTGTTTCCATCAGTTGTAGTAACAATAGATAATATTTACTTTTGATTATTTGCTTTTGCCACCTCTCCAGCTTCTTCCTGTTCAGCTTTTAAATAGCTTCCAAACTCTCTCTGTGCTGCACCCCAGAACAAAGACAACGTACCAAGTTAGCTCTTCCACACAGCTACAGCAGAGACGCTAAAAAACTGCCCAAAAGGCTGAACTTGTCACAAAGCTTAGTTTAATTTGACAGTCATCATAAGGCATCCATTAATGAAAAATTTCCACCAGGGTCACAAATATTCTCCCATGAAATAAACCGAGTTAAAACAGAGGCCTGTGATTCCAAAAGATGCTAGTGGTTCCTGCTCTTGGCCAGGCCGCCGCTGCTGGCAGTGGGGTCCAGGAGGCGCGGCACCAACAGCGGCAACTCCGGAAGTGTAAAGTCAGCTTGTACAAATCTCTTTCAATAGAACAACAAATGAAAAGGAAAGAGATTTGTGCAGAAAACATCATTCTCCGTCCTTTCTGGGAAAACAAAACAGAGTTAAAGAGATAATCCCATTCAAGGAGCAAAGAGCAGAGCTTGGAGTTCTGAAGCCCAACAATGCTGATGGCCCATTTTTAAAACTAATGAAGCACTACAGAGGCCTGAGTTTATTATTGCTTTATCCCAGTTCAGCCCAGGCTAAGGCTATGGTGAAGTCCAAATTAATTTAAAGCCAGAAAATGCAGATCCAGTAACAGCACCTAAGTCCCCATCCACACATGGGTGTAAACAGATACTTTTGGTGAAGAAAAAAAACAACCCTCCCAAATTTCCCCCTCTTCCTGTGCAGATCCCCATACAGGGCTGAAATTTGCCCTGAAGTATAAAACAGTTTCTCTCACATCTCTGTTAGCTGAGCCTCTTCCAAATGTTTCACCTTTTATTCAGACTATCCTGCTGATTCATCAGCTCAGAGATGCCTCGTGGGAGCTCACAGAGGGGCACACAGGCACCCACGTGTTAGAAGTGTTGTGGCACAGAGTCTATGAACCATCACCTGCACTCTGTAACACCCAAGGACACGTTGCCCTCAGCTTCCTGAGACTGAACGGCACAGGTGGAAGACATCTCTCCATCCTGCATGGCTGGCCAATGATCCAGAGAAACAGGACACCTGGTAAATTAAATGGCACCTTACTCCCACCATAAGTCAGAAAACAGACTTGGGTAAAGTGGGGCTTAAAAGTTTCTCATCAAGAAAAATGGTGCTTCCCTCAGACAGGGCAAACTGTTATTCAGGCAAACATTATTCAAGGCAGTAAAATTTTACCATGGATATTGCCAGAGTTGATTTACAAGCCAAGATATGCTGGGGATCTTAAGAATCTAAAGGTCCTGTTAATTCTTCCAAAAGGACAGAAGACACACAGACTGTATCTGATGAATACATGTGCCACACATTATGACACACTAACCAAGGTTGCAGCTAGACAAGAATTGATGGCATTTGGGCACCTAATTTGAACTTCTATGAAAATTCGAGCCTACACATTTTCTTATTGCTTGCCCCATCGAGTGCAAAGGGAAAATGGAGGGTAGGGTCAACTACAGGAGGATTTCAAATCCATCGTAAGGTTTCCCTGTTCTTTTTTATATATCTTTTTATATATATATATATAAAAAGCATTATTATTATTATTTAGCCACCTCTGGGCAGGGGGGAACAGGAGCTATTTAAAATTAGTTTCTTATTGAAGTATTAATCCCCTTCCTCCCAAATCCCAATACCTTTGTCACAGGAAGGAGCTTAACATGAAAACGTGTTTGCTGCCACTGACAATTCCTGAGTCTCTCCTTTGCAGAACTTTAGCCCAAATATCAGGGCAATGACAGCTTGACACATACACACTCCCCAGCAACATACACACACAGCAAGTAGGACGTGCCTCAGTGGCCTCAGACAAAAAAAAAAAAAAAAAAAGAAGAAAAAACCCCACTAATCAACAAATTCAGAGAAACCATCCAGAAGAGCCTCAGGAAAGGGAACTATCCACTTTCCATGCAGAAGCAACAGCTCAGGAGTCCCTGCCCAGTATAAACCAAATCAAAATATCCATCACACAGCGGAAGGAGATCTCTGAAACCTGACAGTGTCACACACTGGATACTTGAAGGCACATTTGCTTTGTGTTTTGGGAGAGAAATCCAGTTACAACGACACGCTGCAGCTGCAAGGCTGAGAGAAAGGAGGCAACGCTTGGTATCTTTCCTCTGTTCCTGTCCCCATTTTCAAGCTTTGTGGCTGGCATGAACTGGTGATCTAAGCAGACACGTTGACATCCCTGAGTGAAATGGCACCATTTGTGGCCTCTGAGACTTTGTCCTCAAGCACCATTGCTGGTGTGTCTGTAGTGACTGCTGTAGGGTCTATGGCAGGAAGTGGATTCAAGCCCTGTGATAAGATCTGTTGGATCGTTTTCCGCAAATTGGGGTGCAGCTGGTTTTGGGTCTGGTAAAAAATTTCTAAGGCAAAAGACTTGAGGGTGCCAGTGCAAAGGTCCTCATAAAGTGGAATTGTGTACATCCGAGACATCTGCAAAAGAGGAAAACTGGATAAAACCACTTCAATAAAAGTCAAGAAGTTCAGATCTACAGCTACACTCCAACAGCCCCGAATAACTTCAGACTGTAGACAAGCAACACGTTTCTTCAAAAGACAGATGAGTCTATTCTAAGTAAGTCTAATGCAAAGATTCTTATGAATGATAATAAGAAAACATCTGCTCTCTGAGCCACTTCCACAAATAACAGAAAGGCCAAGTAGAAGAGGCCACGCTGAATACATGCATTAACCTTTTGCTCCTGCACAATAACAACTACCGAAAGGAACTCAACGAGCCCTCGCCTTGTTTGAAGTGTAAATATTCAAATAATCACATGATTTAGTAGTGCAAAAACTTCTGGTTTGGAAAAGCCAGGGCTGCTACAAAGCAACACAAAAAAATGCACGGGGCAGAGCTGGGACAAAGGGTATTGAGTCAGGCTAGAAAAGCAGAGATTATCTGTAGGCATTTGAAATTACATCTGCCCATTCCTCCCCGCCCGCTAGCAGGTGAGCCATGCTCAGCCCCTTCGTAACACACCTGGGCTACACTTGGCCAGGAAGCAGAAGTTCCAAGGTCTTTCACGTCGCATGTCTCATGCACATGTCTCATGCACTGAGAGGTGCAGTGATTTTAATCCAGCAGTTAGTACCTGGTTTTCCAAGAAGCGACGGACTTTGTAAAGGTCTGGATAATAGTCATTTCGGACTACAATCTGCAACCAGCGGATACGGATTTCTGCATTCATGGAGTCCAGCTGAGAGGAGTAACATTCCGAAAGCTTTTTTATCACCTCTGAAGAGAGCACATACACAGAGAAAGAATTGTGACCTATTTTGTTGATTTTGAGGGTTATCAGAGAATAACAAATCATAAAATCAAAGAATCGTAGGATGGGTTGGGCTGGAAAGGACTTTTGAAGATCACCCAGTTCAATCCCTCTGCCATGGGCAGGGACATCTGGCATCAGGTTGCTCAAAGCCCCATCCAACCTGACTTTACATGAATGATAAGGTCATTTAGAATTCAATCAATTATTCCAGGAATAATTTCTACTTTCCTGATCAGAGTACTCACCATGTGGCAGTGGTGACCCATCCAGCAATCTGTCCAGGAAAAGCACAGTTTGGAACGTTCTCCATTTAGTGAGGTCAACGCTGCTGGCAGCAGCAACAGAGTCCAGGGGCTCTGTGGTCCAGAGTTTGAAGAGTGTCTCCACTGGTCTCGTCAGACTGGATCCCTGAGATAAGTCTGGCTCAGCTAATGGAGGTCCTGTAGCATTGAGCCAACGTTCAAACTCCAGTCCTGGAATGAGGAACACCAAATATGTGGAGCAGGAATCTCTGCAGGTAGCTTGGCTGCCTCAAGGTTCAGGACTGCTTCTAACATAGTTAGGAGAGGTTCTAACAACAGCAAATCAGACCAACCTACAGTTAGAGTGGCACAGCAGCATCATTGGGATAGCCTATGGAACACCTGCAAAGAGTGCCAGCAGCACCTCTCCAAACCTAACCATGAGCTTTCTAGAGCTCAACATTGCAGCAAGTAAGTACAAAAACCACACATGCCCTTAAGGCAGCCAGGCTGACGAGTTATCTATGATCAAACCATAATATGAGACTTTTTGTGCATGCGTTTCTCTTTCTCAGGATTATGAGGAACACTAAAGAAAATGGGGAAAACCTGCTTCATAAAGAAAAAAAAGGGAGGTGAGAGGGCTGACTAAACTCTTCCTGTCCACCAGTAAAAATGAGCAATTTATTTATACAAAAAATAGCAAAAAAAAAAAAAAGTTTCTGCACAAGCAGCAGAGCCTGCTTTCCAATACAGCTCTTTCCCTTCACCCTTTACCACCTCAGTACTTTTCTAACCCCTGGTAATACTTTCTGTTCCACTCCATCTACCCTAAAACTCATCTCTCCTGCATCCACTGAATATTAGCCAGGCAACAACTAGCTCATGCTGTGATTAACTTATTAGCCAACCTCTGGTCCAAGTAAAACACAGAGCTGCTGAGCTCCTGCTGCAGCTTTTCCCCACAGTAAGTTCACTCATCTACACCTCTCCACAGGCAGTTTCCTCTCCACAAAGCTGAAGGAATCCAGTATCTTTAAGAGCTGTACTTCCCTGCTGGTCTGGTTTAAACTGACCAATGGGTTTAATAACTACTTGCAAGGATGGACACATGGCAGGATAACATTAGTCTCATTTCTTTAAGCAAGTGGGCTAGTAAGTACCTAGTAGATTACAGACCTTGCATAAATCCCCCAATAGCTATAAATAGGGGATATAAGAGAGAGTGAAACATTATGGAAGAGAATTTATATGTTTGTGTAGGACCCTGGGAAACTTACAGTTCTCAAAGCGTGTTTTCTATAATTAAAATAGATGAAATTTCAAAGTATGTTCACCTTTTCCCTGCATTTGAGCATGTATAAATCTCACATGCACTGATTATTCTGTCTGCAGAGTGAAAGGTGAGTTAATGGGAAAGTTAACCAGGGGCCACTCACCTAATTAATGCCAAAATTGTCAGCAATTTAAGATGTTCTCATTCCCCAATGCAGTGATAGTAAAAATAAATTCTGTCACAAACACCTGGCTGTTGCCAAAGGGTTTTGTTCACCTTAGCATTTCCCTAAGCATCCTCCAAGCCAAGCACAAAATGTATCATCCAGATTTTCTACAGTATTTACAGTTAACTAAGTAAATCTCCTACCTGCTTTGCTCTCAACACATTGCTCTTTCAGCTCTGGAAAAAAATTCAGGAAGGAATCCAGAAGATCTTGAGCCACAACGCTGGTAAATTTGTACTTCTCAATGTAGGCCTGAAAGAGTAAAAAGTTCAAATTATGGTTGGGAGAAAGACAGCTTCCTTTTAATGCAGAACCACTGCATGCAACAACAACAACAACAACAAAATAGAAGAGTGAGAACAAGCATTTGAAGATTTAAAAGAAATAATCAAGAAAAATATTCACCCTCTTTGCGCAGACAAGTGAAGCACCATAAGGAAAAAATTGAGTAGCTGCAAGCACACTGACAGCTGAGTACCATTCCTTTTTCCTTTTCAAAAACAAGTCAGTAGAGCTAACAATTTTCTACAGGTTTTGCAAATGTGCTCCAAGGCACCAACCTGCCCTTTGTCACCCTGGCAAAAAAACAAGCTAACACTTCTTAGTAGTGAGTCAAGCCACATCACTCCAGTCACAGACAATCTGTGCTGGAACAGCTTTCTAATTACTTGGAACAGAGAACAGGAGAGAAAAATACACTACTACTCTGTATGTAGCACCTCCTAAGCTCAGAATCTAAGAAATCTCGTAGGAAGATTCATCTAGGTTGACAGACAGGCCCACAACATTCCTCCATCTCAGACACCTGTGTTCAACTTTACCCCTACCATTTAGCCACAGTGACAAAACCCAGGAAAAAAGAACCAAACAACAACAAAAAGCAGCTCTAAATTGCAAGAGAAGAACGTGCTTATTCACACTCACTCTTAGGAAGGAGTCAAAGTGTCTTGGGTCACCACAAAGCTGGGACAGGTAGTAAACAAAGCAGTAGCCTTTCTCATAGGTGAAGAGGTTCATTAAATTACTGGGATTTACACCTGAAAGGAGAAGATGCCGTGGTAAGACACTCTAATGAGGATAGTGATTTCCAGCCCTTCTGAGTATACAGACCCCTCAGAGATCACCAAGTTGAAAAATAGTGACTTAAAACCAAAACAAGCCTGTTGTCAGTACATTTAAGTTACTACAGTAAATCAAATGGATGCAGTCAAACACACAGCCTGATAAATAATAATTAAAAACCCAATTATTGTAAGGTAAGTACTAATTCCTAATGGAACAAGTCACTCCAAATTAGAGGTCACAGAAAACATTTGAAAACAAATCCTTTTTTCCTTCTTTCAGTGTCAAACTCAGGGAATTGTCATACCACAAATTTTCAAAGATATCAATATAAGGTAATCATTACTTGCTCCTTTTTTAAAACTTCCAACATGTGCTTTTCCATTCCATTTGGTTCCAGTATCATCTCCAATTGCATTTTAGGTTATTTTAAATATCAGCTGGATTGAAAACTGCTTCATCCCTCCAACAGTGACCACAGAACTAGAGAACTATCAGTGAAGGAAATACATAAATCTGGAATGTACTGTGCATCTGGCTCAGGGAAGGACCAAATAGCCTCTGCACAGCTCAACTTGGAGCAAGTGCTTATATTTATCTGCATGCACGCATACATAGTTCTTACATGAACACATAAAAACAGGAACATTTAACAGCAGAGCATTTCATATGATGTTTCCAAATATGTCCATTATAAACTACTTTATTTTATAAATTCAGAATTTCAAGCCCACACAGTTTTCAAGCTCTTTCTACGCAGTGAGTCTGTTCTGTTCTTACACAGAACAATATTTATAAAGACAGGTTATCTAAATTCGAAGAAAACTTCAAGGCCAAGTTTCTTTACTTACTTTTAGCCTGGTTTACAAACCAGTATTTCTTTTTTCTCACTTTTATAAATTTTATGTAAAAATCAATCTTTTTGTCTATCTTCCAGCAGTGATATACAAATGTGTATAATTTTTGCACAGCAGCCCCTGCCAAAAGCAATACCTGGCTCCAGTTTAACCTGAAGTTTGCTGACCGGGTTGTCTTCTCCAAGGAGCTTCATCTGTCTGTGGAGAGCATCGAGGCGGAATGCAGTCTCCAAACATGTGAAGGCAGCTCCTACCCCAGAAAATAACTTGTTAGTTGTGGGAAAATGACCAGCAAAACCTGACCTGTGCAGGACTAGCACAGCTGCAAAGTAAAAGCTGCTGAAGGTGCAAAAGACACAAGAGCGAGACAGAATCCCAGTAATGTAATGGCAGAGAAACGTGAGCGCAAAACATCCTTTCAATTTGTAGTGGAAGTCAGAACCTAACCCAGTAAATTTCCTCACTCTGTTTATTCAGCAGGCTGCACTGAAAAACAAAGCAGCACGAAAACTAGGCTAGAGTTACATCCTTGACATCATCTTATCAATTCTTGCAAGATAAGCAGAGCAGCACTGAAGTAAGTATTGTACAGGTAACTTTCAGGGAGCAATCAAGCGCTACAAAACCATAATGCCACTGGTAGATGAGTAGGCAATTCCATATTCAGTGCCAAGGATATTAATAAGTAAATGTCACCTCTGGGTGAAAGAGAAAAGGATTAGATTTGGTTGGTATATTACTGATCCTGTGTATCTTTTTTAACCTTCATCTATCATCCTACACATATTTTTGTCATACATTTTTCACCTTGCACTCATTAGGACTTTTTACAACTGCGACTGGGTAGGCTATTCCTTCTCTTCTTCCTAACTGCAGTGCAGAGCATTCCGTGCTTTCAAGCCAAACTAGCTGTATTACACTGGCAAGTCAAGAGATCTTTCCTATACCCTTGCATAAGATAAAGGCAGAAGAAAATGGATTTTCAGATTCAGAAGACACTCAACATCCATAACTATTAACTTTTTAGCCTTGTTTGCTAAGTTTTCAATTTGAACGATAGTGTTTGTTACACAGATCCAATCTCAGTCTCGATGTATGAAACAGCAGAATCCAATAAAAACAAAATGCGAAACAGGATATATCTGGAAGACAGGAGAACCTGTATGGGCAGAGCAAGGGGCGGATGTGCTTCCCAGGGGAAAGCAAGAACTGGGATAGCTAGCGTTAAGGGCAATTACTTCAAGCTACAGGGAGGAGGATTAAGATCCAAGAGATGCGGTAGTCAGTGGACTCAAATTTCTCTAAACAGTGTCTTTACAAAGATGCTTTTTTATTAACAACAGAAGATACTCCAGAAATTGTGTCAGAAATGGTAAGATTTAGATCAGAGGTTTGTATTAGAAACAGAACAGAATGGAAAAAGAGCTTACTAAAGAATGGCACAGGGAAAGGCATTTCTTAGTTTCCTAACAAACACTTCTTGAAACAAGCAGTTCTAAATTTCAAGAGAACAGATCAAAATCAGCAAAGAGCTTGTTCTGAGTCAGAAGGACAGACTAAAATGGGACAGAGAACAGATCTTCTGACCTACTCATATCACTGCCATGTATAACGTGGTCAGTCCTAACCACTGAGAATTACTCAACATAAAGCAGCTTTCAAAGATATATAATATGCAAGGAAACATCTCCATAGATGCTCAGAGCACTTCTTTCCCTAAACGTAATTATTATCAGTTCATCTCCAAAAACAATATACATGAATAAAACCAAAAGCAATCTTCTAAACACTCTTGCTGCCAAGATTTCCAGTAATTTTTCCAAGATTATTCTTACACATCTGCTGTAAACACACATGGAACTGGCTTTTAAGAACATAACAGAACAAAGTAGAAAAGCATATATTCCCATTCTTCACTTCAGTAAAAAGCCAATTAAACTTAAAAGTAAGAGGAATGATTTACTACTTATATATTCTAAAGGTAGCACCAACAACTGGCCTGTGAAATTCACTGACATAAGCAAAGGCAGGGCGGTACAGTCCTGCAGGAAGCCTCCAGCAGATAAACAGACAGCTACATAAATGTGTGCTTTTTTTTTTGTGCTATCGCCATCGTTCATTCTAACAGCAGGTACCTACTAACTGATCAGGATTACAAGGGCACTTGTTCAGAGGACAGTTACTTCACAACATAACCATAATAGGATTCCTTACATCTTTCTCTGAAGTATCTTCTGCTCACCTTGCTCTGACATATGAACACCTGCCTGGTACCCAACAGTAATTCCAAAGTCCCTACAACACTGTGCTAATACACCTCACTCAAAGCCCCTGTTACGATATCAGGTATTGATTCCACCCAAAACCAAGACAACATTCCAACTCGAAGCATTTAAAGTGTTCAATACAAAGTTTGTGGCTGTGTGAGGGTGTGTGTTCCATAAATAAATAAATAAATGAATAAATAAATAAAACCTGAAAACCAGCTCCCTACAGACTTTTGAGTTTCCAAGGCAAATATGCCAGTGCAGCCAACTCTGTTGTGGTCAGGTGTAGGTAAGGGGCCAGGTTTCTGCAGCTGTACCGTAGGTCTCAGTGGTGATCCGGCGCTGCGCGTAGGTGGCCAGGCCCTCGCTCAGCCACATCTCCTCCCAGGTGGCGTTGGTGACCGCGTTTCCAAACCAGCTGTGGGCAACCTCGTGGATGACATCAATGATCAAAAACTCATCGCTCTCCAGAATGGAAGAGATGATGAAAGTCAGGCACGGGTTTTCCATGGCAACAATAGGGAAGGATGGAGGAAGAAAAACAATGTCATATCTAAAATGAAGAAGAGAGGAGAGAGAGGAGGTAAGTAAACTACAGCTACTTCAGAAGACACACAGTAATATTTTTCTTTCTTTAGGAAAGGCTCATCTGAGGCCTTTATATGACTTCATGAACAAACTTTCTAGACCAGTGTGCCTAATTCTTCTGATCAGGGAATCAAGTATTTATTCTGTTGTCCAAGGACCTGCTCACATTTGAACATAAAGACTTAACAGTCCTTTCACATGCAGCAGATCCAGCACTTCCCAAAAGCATCATGCTCCCTTCACACACACAGACTCATCACAAGGTGTGTATCTGAGAGCCAGAACCATAGACAGTAGTGTAACACAGTGTTGAGTCTCCAGAGGCCCCCTGGAAAGAGAGAGACTGGGAAGCTATCAATGAATTAACTGATTTGGTCTACATGCAGTGTCAGCAAAATAACTCTGATCTGTCTGCTTCAGAACACAACAATAATATTTGGGTTGTTTTCTAAATTTCTCTACCAATGATCAGTATTGGGCAATTTTGTCAGATTACTTCAAGCAACATTTTGTAAGTTAACAACAACATGATCTTCCTGCTTAACTTTAGCAAAGACATATAGGAAGCCTTTATAAACATTTTCTCCCATCCAAAGAATGAAACTATTCTCTTAAAAACTTTTTTTGTTATTACATAGTCAAGCTTAATTCAAGAAGTATTAATGTTGGGTTTGGGGACTTGGATTCTCAATGAGTCTGTACTGAGATTTTTGGTATCTTCAGGCCTACCACAATAAATATATCACATCTCAAGTGCCACATGCAGAAATAAGTAAGATAAATAAAACAGCCATACATTTTAAATGGTGTCTGGCCCAGTGCTGGACTTGCATCACAAAACATCTTCACTCCTTAGGAAAGACCCACTGTTTAGAAACCTCCAGTTCTAACCCATAAACCAGGTAAAACACATCTGTGCCTTCATGGTCCTCCCTGCCACTTCTGGAGACAAAACCCTGGAGTTTATTTCCAGCTGCTACAATTGTCAGTTGAAACGCTCATTTGCCTTGCTGTTGTATAGGGAGAAAGCATGATCATTTCTCAATATTGTTTTATTTTATTCCCATTATACATTCCTGGGAAACTGATAAAACTCACCTTCCCCATATATAGGGGCCATACAGGCTCTCTGCAGCAGTCAACCAGCGTTCAACGATGCCAGAAAGCTTGCTGATGGCTGTTGGCAGCAGGCAAGGCTCTGCCCACACTCTGCTCCTGTCAGAAAACAGAAAACATCAGGTGATACTTCAGCAAACTGAATTATCTCTTAGAAAAAAAAACCTGACTGCTCACCACACTTCCATGTATGGTAATAGTGAGAGGAGGCCTCTCATCAGACTCGGGCCCTCCTCGGCTAACGCTCCATGGCAAGAGGTAACCAAAGATCCCTTCAATAAGGCAATGAGAAAGCAGCTGTAATGAGTGCAGGGGACAATAGGCAGCACTTATGAAAGAGGAATATATCTTTGCCAGTACAGTGCCATGAATTTCTTTACACCCAACTGCACCTCAAACTCTCTCAACACTCACAGCTCATGGACCCAACTGTTTAATATCACTGACTCAATGTCATTAATATTTATAATACAAAACACTGTACAGAGACACAAAACACAGAATCAACTCAATGCAAACCTTACCTTGGACCTATGTCTGCATGTATAAGGTCTCCTGCCACCAAGGCCACTAAGTAGGCAGGAACTGGATATTCCATGTAAAACTGATATACACCTTCCTCTTCTAGGTAGGAACTTTGGGTGGCACTCATCAACACCTGTATGCCTGCTGGAGCCTGGAAGACCAACATCATACACATCAACTCACCAGATGATCACAGCTGAATGACTACACCACAGATCTCTTGTCTATTTTCATCTGTGTCTGAGGACGTGCATTAAAAACAATCAGTTTAGATAACACAGAACGTAAGATTCCTGTGAGGTTTTTATACCACAATCTGCCCAGCCCATGAAAACATACCAACCAAAAATATTACTCCTCCTATATGCCAACTGCCCCAAAAGCACCCACGTATCAAATTATTGCATCTATACAAGATGCAACATTATTTGATGCTGCTTTCAAAAAACTTTTGTTTTTTCCTTTCAAGAATTGGTAAAATACAGTTGAGTATTATCATCAATAACCACTACTGGAAAGAACCAGCCAAATTCTCTCACATACTATCCAGTTCACAATTACTCTTTCAGCATTAAGTACAGGGGAGGCAAGACCCAAGTGTGATAGGCAGCAGAGTTACCTTTGTGGCACTACCCTGATTCTGGCCCAAGAACCAGAATGGGACCTAAAACATGCAGTATTTTTCATAAATCTGAATCACAATTAACATTTTTATCATGTGTGCATACATCACGTAACTGTGCTTTCACAAGTGAACAGCAACTGAGAGCTCCATTCCCAGGCATTCGGTCCCTTACCTTGACAGTAGCTGAGTAGGTGCATTTCACTGCAGGGGTGTCAAAGCAAGGGAAGAAGGAGCGGTTACACACCGAGTGGCCCTGCGTGAAGACAAATGGCTTGGCATTGCCGTACGTCAGCTCTGGATCCAGCCACCAGATCTGTTGAAACACGACGTGAAGAAGAGGTGAGGGAAAGGGACAACACAGGGATGAACTGCCAAAACCTAAACCTGAAATCAAGAAGATCGTGGGGGAGAAGCACCACCTCTTCTGTTTGGCCCCCCAGATGAATACCTGGCACAGAGCACATTTCCATCTCTAACAATACATCTTTCTACTCCTGTTTATTTGCTGGGACTGCTCACAGGAATTTCTTACTGCCTGACCGCTGAGTGGTGACACCCTGCATAGTGACTTCCAGCCATTCACTATTTCTGTTGTGTCAATATGCGTGGTTAATAGCAAGTTCCTAACAAACATCCACACAACCTTCTTCTCAGAGGGAATACTCTGGATATCTTCATGTTTATAACTCAACATGAACAGGAGTGGAAGGGGTCAGGTAACACAAGCTGGGAAAAAAAAAAAAATCCACCCAAAACAAACCCAAATCCTCAAACTAAAAAACCCTGAGGCTGAACAGTGTACACAACATTATCTGTGACCCTGACCCTGCCCTCCTGGCTGAATCATCAAACATTTTGACACTATGCAAAAAAGTTGGTATATGTAAGAAACATCTGGTCAAGGACACTGAGGCCCCTTTTTACAGAATGGATAAGGAGATTTTGGGTGGTCACAAAAGCAAAAACCAAAAAAACATAACACTGAGCATGTCAATTTTCAGTACCAAACAGCAAATAAATCACAAATCAGACCCTCAGCAAATAATTAGAACAGATCAAGAATAATAAGAAAAAAATGCAATTATTTGCCTTTTGTTTTTTCTGTTTCAAAGTTTGTGCTTTCACATGCTCCCTGCCTCCAACTTTAAAGTGTAGGAGCAATTTTAAATAAGGATTTTCTTGTAATCCTAGAACTCTGGAGCTGAACTTTAATGGAAAATATCAAATATTGTGAAACTCGCAATAAAACTGGAACCACTGGAAGTCTTGGGAACAGTCAAGCACAAGGAATAAAACTTCTGAGTCTGCTGAATTCTTAGATCAAAGCAACCAATAAATCTGAAATCAGGGAATAGCAGTTAGTGCAGACACTAGTTCAGTTCTGGTCCTCAAGAGGAAGCTATGAAACACAGAAGAGAAACCTGAGTACTAAGTCTGCTCATATTTTAACAACATATTACAACTCTGTCTCCTAGTTAACATGTCTTCTTGGAAGTTAAAGTTTTCTCTCTCTTCTGTCCTATAAGGTTACTCTTTGTTATCTTCTTCCCTTGACTTTAAACCTTTTTCCTCAGCTGCCAGTGTACTCCTCTCCCAAATCATCCACTGCAGCAGCACCCCTGGGGATCAGTGAAAGGTAGGGACAGGAAACACACTGTCAGCAGCTTCCAGTTGTTCACATGGAGGCTCACACTTCCACTGGAAAACGTTTGGGTTTTTTTAGGTGGGAGGCATCACAAAATTAAAAACCTCTAAGGAGATGTAAAATTAATCTCAGATCAGCATTCTTATCTTAAAATTTGGTTTAAGATTACTCTCTTCTGTTTGAGCCTCTAGGGCCAGAAACATGCTTAAAGCAGGACTTCTGAGGAGGCCTGTCTGCTCACGGCACGAGGGCTCATGCTGTGCCACTGTTCACATCCACGTGCTGCATTTCAGCACAGCACTGCCCACACTCCTGGGTCACAGCCCGGGGACACTACATAGCTACAGATTTCCACTGCATGGATACCTGCATTTCACAGCAATGAATATTGTCTCTGCAATGAGGCATTGTGAAACTGGAGACAACTATTCCAGAAGGCATTTGGGGACATATGTCTCATTAAACCCTACAGTTTGAAACTAATAGCTTTCACCCAGATCACACATTCACAAAAAAATGCAACTGCTGTGTTTTAAGCCAGAGTAGCAGCTTTCTAATGATCCAGGGAGGAGGCTCAGAAATTAGATTTTTAAAGATCTGCCCAAATGTCAACTGTTAAAAGCACTCCTCTGATCCATAGCTTTGTGCTTGGGTCACAAAGTCTGACTTACATATCGCTGGCCCTGAAGACACTCATCCTCAAAATGTTCTGTTTCCTTTGCTTTTTGAGAGACAGAAGAGGCTAACAAAGAAAACAGAAAGATAAGGCACCACCAGACCTAAGTTGCAACACTTGAGTAGCAAGGAAAAACGACTGACAGACGATGTCTTTAGAGCAGAGAGATAAGGGGAAGTTCACCCTGAGCAGGGCAGGAGGAAAACATAAGCAGGAAGGGGAGGGAAACTGAGAGCCGATTCTTGTTTACAAGGAACTCCATAAATTAAGGACAATTTCATTTCAACCAGTTCCCCTTTATTTGACATTTGGTTGAAGTTAAATGAAGCACCAGTCCCACAAGCCAAGAGGGAAAACATTTGCAGAGGATGAAGTATTTTTTTCCCCTGTTTTCTAATGTCTGCAGCTACATGGCAAGCCTCTGTCTCTCTTTCCAGAGGCACTTGGAACAATGATGAAAGTTATCCTGAAACAATATAAATAGATCTGTAATATAAATAGACCAGGCTATGCCACTGGACAGAGGCAGGGCTATGGGCTGGGGAAAATGACTATAAGCAGCATCCCAGAAAGGAGTGTGAGGCACAGGGTGCTGCTGGGGCGGGTGGTGGAGCCCTGCACAGGGACAGAGTGGCATTTGAGGCTGTATCATCTACTCCACATCCAAATCCCTCCTGCACTTCTCTTGGGAAATACACATGACATCATCATAATGCACTTCCTTTTTATCTAGCTTTCCACGTATACAGGAAAGCTGTTTCACACATTAAAGCTGTTCTGTGATGCATTTCAAGCAAAAAAAAACCCTGCTGCATGGTTCCTCTGCTGAACAGAGGCTTTGGGCAGCCCAGGCTTCACCCTGCCCACATACTGCAAGAAGCTCCCACTTTCTAAGACACCTGCCAAGAGTATAATTCTTATTGACTTAGATCATAATCTTTTACCCAAATCTGGCAAATGACGAAGGCAATTAGCTAAGCCTCTTTCAGTTTTAAATCTCTCCATGTTTCTACATGTGTTATTGATGAAGGTCCCAGGAAGAGCTGCCACGCCACAGCTTCTGTTCTAGACAAACAAACCACCCCATCCGATGACAAAGTAAACCAAACACCTGAGATGCAGATCATGTGACAGGAGCAAGGCACACCTGGGCAGCAAATCACTGTAGGGGGACTGAGGAATCAGGACAAATCCAAGGAATGACTGGGAAGTTTCCAGCACTGCAAAGAAGGCTGTCCTTTTTGCTAAATCCTGAAGATGAGGAAATGCCGTCATTTTTTATACCAGAACACAGAGCAGGATTTGCATTTAAGGAAAGAAAATAGCACTGATGTTAAGATGTGCACTGCCAAATCAGAGGTGTGACACAGTGGGCAAGAGAGAGGCGTAAATTTTTCTCTCTAGGGGAAGAAAAAAAAAAAAAGGAAAATATCATGCAAGAGTATTACTTGAGGGGTGAGGGAAAAGAAGGGGAGGAAGAGCAGAACTACAGTCCCTGACACACCTGATCAGTGTGTGCCTTCAGCCCACACTGTGAGAGATACACAATGATGATGACAGTCTTGCCTCTGATGGGAACTGGTGATGTACCAAGCATATGGTTTCCTAACAGCACAGGGAGCTGGAATGCTCTGTGAAAGGCAGATTTAGTCTCTCAGCTGTCTCTCAATGTCCATCAAACAACCAAAGATCTTGGCTCCTTCCTCCACACGAGAAATAATGGGACAGTCGAATAACATATCCAGATGGCTCAAACCAAGTATATCAAGACAAAAGGTTTCCAATTTTAAACACTCTGCTATCTCTGCTGCTGATCTTACTGCCAACACATTAATGCTGCACTGTAAAATGAATTTACTGTTTTATAGGTCCCATAAGTATGTTAAGGGTCCCACAGAAAATAAACCCTGACCTAAGGAGAATATATTCCTAGAATGGCCAAAGAAAACAGAACTCCTAGAAGAGAGAGGTCTAACACTGCAAAGTGACACAGAGAAAAGGAACTGACAGGATACATACAAGACACAAATACAAACAAGTTCACCCTTATACACATATGGGTTACTCTTCCCTGCTAAAGTGCAACACTGGGCTGGAAAACAGCAATGACAGAGAGCACTACAATAGCACCAAATCACCTTGGATCCAAAAAAAATAGTTCAGCATACTGAACATGAAAGGCTAGAACAGGTGCTACTTGAGGACAAATATTTTGCCAGCCAAAACCTACAACAGTGAACAAGTAAACACAGTAGGATTCCTGTCAGTGAGCATGCCTGCTTCTGCTTTCCAGTATCACTCGGGAAGGGCAGTGCATGCCCCTGACTCTGACCATCAATAATCTTTTGACATGAGTCCTTGCAGCTTTATTTCAACTGAAGCAGTACACGCTGTTAAAGGCACAATAAAGACTTCAAAAGACGGGATGAAGAAGAGCTAGTTCACCTCTGATCCAGGGGGAGAAAGACAACAATAGGGAGGATGGAAGAAATTCTCTGCTCTCAGCATCCTCAGATATGGGACATCCACATGGGACGGTGTGTGGGGCCAAGGTGAGACTAAATGGACATCACATCAATCAGTGCCCTGCACCTTCCAGTGGTTTTCAGGTCATTCCCGAGACTCAAATGAGTACTGCACTACTTCTGAGATCATTTCTCCACAGACTCAGCTGCCCCTTTGGCAACAGGGCTGGCAAAAAACAGGGGTAAGCACAGGCCAGCCAAAAATAAAACAATTTGTTCAAGAGGAGGAAAGCGTGTTATCGTGTACTTCAGATCTGGCTCAGTCAGACTGAGAATGATTGCACACAGCAATGCCAAATTAGCTTTAAAGCTTTCTCACTACAAACAAGGCAGAAAGAGTGGGCAAAGAAACAGATTTCTTCACAAGCCTTGGGGAAAAAAAAAAATAAAGAACGGAATCTTCTGAACTCACTGTGGGCTACATGGAAGAGTATTGTACAAGGAAATGTTAAAACCAGGAGTTCCAAAGGTGAAATGGAACAAAAAGAGCCAGAATCTTACTTCATTTTTACACTTTAAGGAAAGGACTAAAACAATAAAAAGTTACCATATGACCACAGGAAACTTCTGTCAATAAAAACCTTCATGTGCAACTCACTGTTACAAGTGAGCCAATGTATTAAGACTACCCAGATGATTCTCAGGATTAATTTCGTGAGCTTCAATGCAGGGTTAAAACCAGACAGAAAAACATCCAGCAAACTCGTTCTCTTCAGTAACACTTTCCTATCTCAAGGAAAAGCCTACTATTTACTTGCTGTTGGGCTGTTTTGCAAGAAACTGTTATGTTCAATTCCTGCTCTTGTTAAATACCTTGTAACAGTCAAATAGATCCACACATTTACTGATTTTGACCGGTGCAACAGCAACACCAAACTGGTGGGCTGAGTCAATTCCTTTAGGCAAGACAGAGGCAGCAAAGTTGCAATACTCTCAGAGAAACATTCCTTTTGCAAATAGGTTCATGAAGCACATAATGAAAATCACATCAGTTTAGTTCCCAACCTGAACTGACTGTACAGTAACTAAAAGAACCAATGTTCCAGCGATAACTTCATATTTTCACTGTCATAACTTCTTAAAAGCACAAGATCTGCTAGGCAGCACCTAGAAGGCCAGGAACAAACTGCTTCTAAACACCAGGGGTTTAAAAAAAGTGACAGAATTTACAAAGCATCTCACTGACGAAAGCTTTGAATCAACCAACATGTGGAAGCAACTCCACGGCCACATCCAAATGGGTGTTTTGGGGCATTTCTCATCCCTTTTTTCCAGCAGATAACTTGTAGGAACATGTGGAATCGCCCTGTTCTTCTCAAAGCTCCTGACCACAGCTCTTTGGAACGTCAGCCTGGGAGTGCAAGGCCTGATTTTTTAAGCGCCTGGCAAAACCCCCAGGGAAACTCCTGCATTGTGGATGACATAACTTGTCCTGAAGAACTGAGTCGAGGCAAGAGTTCTCAAATTGTCACTCTCCTCGCCAACAACTGCAATGCCCTTAAAGGACAAACAACTTTTAAATTACTATTGTGGTGGCGGATGAACAGCCCTGGGGCCACAGAGATGGGGGAAGGCAGGAGGGAGAGCGACTGGGTTGGTACGAGCATCGCCGCTGAGTGCGGGGCTGCGGGTGGGGGCTGGCACAGCCGAGTACCCCTGCGGGCAGGGACAGATGATGCTGCTGCCGAGCGGGCAGGCGCTGCCAGGCCATGGGGGACGGGGACAGGAACAGAGGGGCTGTCAGTGAGACACCTCCCGACGCCTTCGCTGCGGGGCCGGGGCGCTTCCCCGACGGTCACTCACAACAGGAGCAAAGACGCGCGACGGGCACGGCTGGCACGGGAGGGCTCCGCCAGACACTCCGGGACCCCATTTCCTACATTACCACCCCCCGGTACTCACGGCGGGGCCGTCGGCCGTGGTGTAGCGAACGATGATCTGGAAGGGCTGGTGCGGCTGGAGGGCGGCGGGCAGGGAGACCGTGAGGGACGAGCCGTAGTCGGTGAACGGGTCCACCCTGAAGCCGACCGGGCAGGCGGAGCAGGGCGGCTGGGCGAAGAGGGGCAGCGGCGGCGGCGGCTCGGCGGCGGGCGGGGGTCCGGCGGGCGGGTCCGCCGAGGGGGCGGCGGGGGCAGCGGCCCGGCGGCGATGCAGGGCGCCGAGAGGAAGGTGGCGGTGGCGGGCGGGCTGGCGGCACAGGGCGGCGCGCAGGGCGGCGGCGGCGGCGGGCAGGGCGGCAGGGGCGGCGGGGCCGGGGCGGCGGCGGCCTCGGCGGGCGAGAAGGCGAAGGCGCAGGGCGCTTCCCGGCGGCGGCGCGGCGGAAGGCGGCCGAGAGGACGCGCAGCGCCGGGTGCACGTCCAGCACCAGGGCGCGGGGCTGCGGGCGCAGCGCGCAGAGCTCCAGCACCAGGCAGCCCGCCAGCGCCCGCGCCTCGGGCCGCAGCTCCAGCCCCAGGTGCAGGTGCCGCAGGCTGAAGAGCTGCGAGCTGGACGCCGACGCCACGTCCGGCGGCGGCTCGGGAGGAGGCGGCGGGGCCGGCGGCGCCTCCGGCCCGGCCGCGGAGCCCTTGCGGCAGCAGCACAGGCCGGGCGGCCGCGGAGCCGGAGCCGCCATGGAGCGGCGGCGGAGGAGGAGGAGGCGGAGGAGGAGGCGGCGGCAGAGGCGGCGGCTGCTATGTGAAATCCATGGGCGGGCAGGGAGGAGGGAGGCCCCGGCGGCCGGAGCGGCCGGGGCGGGGAGGGGGAGGCGGAAAGGACCGGCCGGGAGAGCGCAGGGCCCGGGCCCGGACGGCAGCGGCGGGCGCGGCCGCCGGGGGCGCCGGGGGCCCCGCCCGCCCGCCGCGCGCGCGCACCCGCCCCGCCCTCAGAGCGCCCTCACAGTGCTCGCCCGCCCTGCCCCGGGCTGTGCCTGCCCTGGCACCGCTCCCGGCCATCCACCCACCCCTTCGTCCATCCACCCACCCCTTCGTCCATCCACACGCGTGGGCGCTGCACGCCCAGCCAGGCCCACGCGTGCGGACCCGCGGCTCCATCCAGCTGTGGCCCCTGTTCATCGCGCACCCCCCCACACCGCCCCCCTGCTCTCCCCACACTCCCCAGACCCCGCCGCCTCCCCGGCCACGCAGCGCTCCTGTGGGGACGGCCCTTGGTACGGCCGCAGTGCCCCGCTCCGGTCACTCCTGTGCCCTCGCAGCCGGCTCTGCCCCCTCCTCACCGCCTGAACGCTTCATTTTCACCATCTCCCTTGCCAGCTCCACGACAAACACTCCTAAGCGCTCCACACTAGGGCTTCTAGCCGGGCTGACCCTTGCACCCTCGTCCCACCGGTACCTATTTTGGCCTCCTCCCTTCTGGTTACACCCCCACATGTAGCTCACAGGCTAACACTAAAAAGCCTCCCTTCTCCCTCCACACCATACGCACTCTTTTAAAAATCTCTTCCCTCCCACCGTTGCCTGCCTCCAAATCTCACTCCAAACTGCCCCCGGAGCCCAGCTCACACTTAATGTACTTTCCTCTTCCCCAAACCCTTGAGGCAATCAATCACACACCATCCACTGCTGCCTTCCTAAATCGGGAAAGGCAGAAACCACAGAAGTATCAGCTTTGTACAATCGCTTGTTTTTCTGCATGGCAACAGCAGGAGTCAGCAAGCTGGGAGGAAGGTGCTGCAAGTAACTGTGATTTGCACTCCCCACAGCCCAGGAGCCACGTACGGGAAATCAGCCCCATGTGGTGACACTTCTGTAAGTTATTTTCACTCTAATTTTCACTGGTACACTTTGCCTACACCTCAGCTGCCTGATGAGGCTCCAAGGCACATACTTTAGATGACACGGGAACATTTTTTACATGGTTGTGGCTTTACTGAACCCGTAGTGGTACATTCTAAAAGCATCCCAAGCCTTGCACTAACAACAGCATCTGCACCAAATTCCAGTTGAGTTTCCACTGCGTTGTGATGCTGGAGTCAGAAACTGCGGCCTCAGCACAACGTGGCTGCACTCACCGGCTGAAACAAGGGTAAAACAAATCACAGTATCACCCTAGACAGACCTGAAGCTAAAGAAAACCTTTGTGTAATCACATATATATAGTAGAACACATGCTACAGTTGCAGTAAAAAATAACAATGTAGCAACTCTTCGGTTGCTGAGGGTAGAACAGCCACCCTGTACCTTCTCAGTGTTCTTTCAAAGCACCTTCAGAAAGCAATTTTGTCTTTACAATCCCCTTTGTAACTAAGAGAACTGTTTTGTCCTGCTGTCTTTGCTCTCCACATCCTCTAATAAATCAAGTGTTCTGCATTTATCCTTCTGACACCATCTCTTGCTCACACCACTTACCTTCTGAAAAAACTTGCCTTTCTCAAATGTCGTTTTCAGTGATGTACCGAGACTGGTTGATCTGGCTCTGACCTACAGGTGATGTGCAGAGCACAGCCCCGGCAGCCTCAGGATCTGACCCCCTAAAACCTTCACCCCAAGTAAGGGTGAAGTCTCGTCCGGTGTTCAAGCCAGTACAACTTCAGGGACTGATTTTGGGCTTAATTACATCAGTCTCACTGCACATTAACTCCACTGGGAAATTTTAGAAGAATCCTACCTGTGCATTGATTGAAGTTCCAAGCAAGTACAATGTTTCCACTCATGAGACAGATGAGATGAGCAGGAACACATTCTCTTGAAGAAGCTCTAAGCTTATGATAACGAATCAGAATTGGCTGCACTTGCTGCATTTAGACAAAATAAGCAAAACTGATGCAATTTAAATCACAGGGAACAATACAGCAACCAGTTATCCCAGGCAAATCTCTTTCCACTTGCACACCTTCTGGTCTTGGGCCAGAGCCTTCGCTGTAATGTGTGTTGGTTTTGGCTTGGGGTTGAGTGAATTTTCTTCACAGTAGCTGGTATGAGGCTGTGTTTTGGGTTTGTGCTGAAAACAGCATTGATAATTCAGGGATGTTGTAGCTGTTGCTGAGCAGTGCTTGCACAGAGCCAAGGCCATTTCTGCTCCTCACCCCACCAGCAAGGAGGTTGAGGGTGCTCAAGGAGGTGGACGGGGACACACAGCAGGGACAGGTGACCCCAGCTGATCAAAGGGTATTCCACATAGCATCATAAAAGCTAGGGAAGAAAGAGGAAGGAGGGGACATTCAGAGTGATGTGTCTGTTTTACCAAGTCACCATTACACGTGATGGACCCTGCTTTCCTGGACATGGCTGAACACCTGCAGGCCTGAAGTAAGTGGAGAATAAAGACCTTGTTTTGCTTTGCTTGCATGGATTTTGCTTTCCCTGATAACTTGTCTGGATCTCAACTCTCAAATTTTCTAATTTTTACCCTTCTGATTCTCTCCCCTAACCCACAGGACTATGTGGGGTTTAGTTGCCAGCTGGGATTAAACCACAACAGAAGCATGTGTTATCTCCATGCTATTTTGGGTTGGATCTCTAAGGAAAGTCTGTCCCAATCCCCATGTCTTGTTCTATGCCGCATAGGATGAATTCTTCTCTGGGATAGCACACTATAAATTCTACAGCAGAATCCAATTCCTGAAAATTTCAATCATCATAATCAACCTCTTGTAGAATGCTTCAAAGATACAGATGTTTCAGTCTCATTTGTAAATACTGATGTTTCTTCCTTCCACTTCAGTGACAGGGCCCAGGGCCAGGCCTCAACTTGCTCCTGTGATTCAGGATGAAAGCCAGTAAAAAAATTACAGCTGCTCATGTGAACAGCAGTACTTCAGTAAGTCTGTGAGACAAGTACCAAGTGAAGCAGAGAAGCGATTACAACAGAAAGAACGTTTCCCTCTGGCAGTCTCTGTCTTTAATTCCAAAATAACAGTGCTGCAGCCAAGGTTTAACAAAATGGTTGAGCTAATCCCTGCTGTCCACAGGTGACTGTTCACCTGCTCCATCACAGGTCCTTGCTTGACACCTTGTTGAGCTATTTCAGCTCACCAAAACAGCAGGAAAGATTCAGCTCTTTAGGAGAGCGTGACTGGGAAGCATCAGTTGGGTGCAGTGAATGCTGAGCATGGTTTCCTCTCATACCTATTCTACTGTTACAGTCAGCACCTACTGAAAAGGGCAGCCCCACTTCACCTCCCTTCCAGCTGTGCCTTCCTGTCTCCTTCTTTGTACAGCATTCCTGCTTTTGGAGGGTGAACTTTCTGCAACTTAGCTTTCTGAACTGGGTCACTGCTGGACCACACAAGAGACACTCCTGCATCGGGAAAGGAGGAGGAACTCCCAGCCTGGAAGAAGAAGGAGGATAAGATCAGGATGGCTCCCCTTCTGCCCAGACTGCCATTAGCTCAGCCTTAGCTGCAAAACGAAGCCACACACTGACACCATCAGCACTCAGGAACTAAGTACATTAGCCCATTTCCTTCAAGGGAAATCCTGAAGTTCATGGGGTAAACTGTGAGCAGGGTAAGGTCTGTGCCAGTTAATTCTTGCTTAGGACAAGAGTTAGGAACAATCACAACAAATTATGCTTTTTGTGCTGTCTTCAAGCTACGTTCCAAACTCTGTTAAAGCCACAATTTGCTTGTGGTATTGGTACGTAGAAATGCTTGTTACTGTGACTTTGCAGAAATGTGACGCTATAAACAGTACCATTTGCAAGTAAAGAAAATAGAAAACCTGAGCCCAAGAAGGATTCTGATTCCATCTGACCTCAGTCCTTCTACTTGGCCTAAAAAACTTGCACTATACGTTATTACTCCCTTTACTGCTCAACATACAAGTATTGCAAGCCATTCTCACGCTGGAGGGCAGAAAAATCACCCACTACACTTTTAAAGAAACAACTCTACTCTGAAGTAAGATCAAACCATGGTGTATGACCAGAAAAAAAAACAACACCAAAACAAACCAACAAAAAACAGCCTGCAAACCTGTCCCCCAGGGTTCAAAAAGGTGAGAAATCATTCACGTGTTAAAAGCAAACCACTTAAGCCAATAAAATTTACAAAACCCAAAATAGTTTTATTTACTTTTCAGATTTCTGCCTCAATGAGACATTTTGCAAACATGCTAAGGCTACAAAATGTCCAAGTTGACAAAGACATGCAACGCTGACCATTCAATAAGTCACGGCTATTATAGGAGCGACCGTGTCCCCCTGGGCCACAGGTCCCAAAAATGGGGATGGTGTACAGTGATCATGGCAACGCACTACGCAGGACCCAGTAACCTGAGGTAGGTCATTTACAGTAAGAAAACCATGTCCTACACCAGTGTTACATCCTGATCAACAGGAACCTGTTTAAGGTTCCAGAAGATGTGGGGTCGAGGACTGCTTCCTTAACAAGTGTGCAATAAAGGAACAGGAAATTTTGATGTTGTTTAATCTTAGTATAAGTGAGCAGAACAAAGAGTTAGTGTTACCCATGCCAGTGAAAGCCAACCTAAACCTCTGAGGAGTGTTAGCAGCTTCAGGGTAAAGGAGTCAGTCAGCTGAAGCAACTCTAGAAAGGCTTTCCTGCTAGCACACAGGGCATGATTTGAACCTTATGATTAATTTGTTACAGATCATTCCACGAACAGTTAGATTTTGGTTGTGTTAGATCAGCGAAGCAGGAAGAGCTTGGGCTTGCTTGCATTAAAATAAACTCTGCTGATACAGTAAGAAATACTGTGTCAGGACACTGAGAAAATACAAGGCCTTAACGTGAC